CACGTGCAGAACCATCTACACGGATCTGACAGACAGAGTCAGAAACCTTTGTTAGCTGTTTTACTGTCTTCATGTCAGACAAATTCTGAGCACTTTTACTGAACTCTTTTCTGAAGAACTGCTGCACCTCAGCAGGCTCAGTGAGACCCTCTCGCTCTTCAAGCTGCTTCAACCAATCTTCAAACTCATCATACAAACTCATCTGGACCTCTTCCGTGTTTGGGATTTCCTTAACCTGGATGGAATGCTCCTCCCCAGGCGTTCCTTTTTCCTGTACCTCAGCCTGTTAAGATAAAGATAAAGTACTACAGTTGTCACAGTTTTCTTTGTGACTTTTTTTTTCACTGTGCTTTACAGCAGCACAGGCTGCTTGTTAAGTTTATCCGAAAGAGATTTTTTGTGCGTAATAGCACGCAACAGAAGAATATGTAAATATGAAGATTTAGAATATATGCACAAGACATAGATGAATATATTACCTTTAAGGACACTGACTCTGGAGCATTATAAAGGTATATCATTATAAAGGGAAACCATACTATCAGGGGATGATAGGTTATGTGGGTCAGACAGGGCTGAAGACTGAAGAGAAGCAGCAAACAGATTGAGACTGGCAGACCTAATATCATGATAGACAACAGAGATTTTCTCGGAGGGGGGAGGAGTAGAAATATGAAAACTACTTTCAATGAGCTGATAGTCAGAGATACCAGAGACAGAGATATCATTCAAACCAGTAGAACAGATCAGATCAAGAGTATGACCATGAGTGTGAGTTGGAAAATCAACATGCTGCATCAAGTTAAAACTCTCTAAAACTGAAATGAACTCAGATGTGAAAGAGCATTCAGTATCAACATGGATATTGAAGTCGCCAAGCACAATTACGGCAGAGCAAAGAGACGAGATGATTGTGTGGAGTTCATTAAGTTCAGACAAGAAGCAGCAGCTGGTTTGGGAGGGCGATAAACTAACAGCAACAGTACAGGTGAGGAGGAAACAACCTTCACAGCAATGTATTCAAAGGATGTAGTACTGAATAGTGAAAGATCTTTGACCATTAAACCAGAATGATGAACCACAGCCAGACCACCTCCTCTCCCTTTCAGTCGGGGTTTTGATAGATACCTGGGGGGTGGGGCAGTCAGCATGTTCAAATGTAAAAAACATATCCACTTTTTCTGATGTGCCAGATTGTGCCAAAATATTTTTCAGAAATATGAGAAAGTGTTTTTTGTTTCTAGTTAGTTACTGTTTATAAAATGTTCACTGTCCAGTGATGTAAATATATGTTGTTGTTGTTGTGTTTGTGTTTGAGAACTGTTCACTACAGCTAGAGTATCTTCTAACATGAACGATGGACTCAGCTGTAGTTAACAGCAGGGATGAATTTACTGCAGAGGCCATTTGAGGAGAGCAAAGTTTGGACAGCAGCACTGAAATATCCATATAACATTGTTATATATGAAGACTGTTTACATTCCACAGTCAGACTCTCTGAACAGGAAGGTTAGCCTCATCACGGTTAAATATGCATTAAGAAAAAGTACAATAAAAGGAAATGTACTAGCTAAGACGTTTAAGAAAAAAAAAACAATTATTAATTAACCATTATTAATTATCTGGTTTCTGTTATATGCAAAACAAATTATTTTAAAGTCACTTAGTACATTATTTATTCAATTGGTAGCAAATTAAGGCATTTCTAACAAATTCCATAAATATTAACAATCATTCCCAAACTACTGTATAATTATTTAGCTGCTTCTTGTTGTTATTAAAAATGAAAATGCAGCTTATTTTTTACAGGGTTACTCACTTTCTTCTCCATGGTTTAAAGGTGGGGAACAAGGCAGAGTAGAAGATCCAGAAACTTCCAAACAGACTGAAATAAGATCCACATGTGCAGAGAGAATGAAGAACACTCAGCATTTAACATATGAACTGTGCTAAACTGATCTGGAACTACTTGATTATGATCTCTGATGGAGTTAAACATTAAACAGTTATAAGTTAATCAATAAGAAATCTACCAGCTCGTCCTGTGGTTTTCAGATCTCCTGTGAACTGGAACTGCACCGCTGTCCTCTGATCAGCTTTACTCTGCAGATCTTTGTCCCAAAGAGATGATGAGAGTCACTGTAAAACAGGTCCATAAATGCATATTAGTTAGTTTAGTACATCATGTTGTGCAGAAGCTGCAGTGCTGCAAGTCATATCATTTCGAGCGTATAGTAAATGAATGATATAATAAACAGTAAACTTATTAAGCAAAATAAAAGGTTTATTTAAAGTGAAAATCAGCAGATCCACTTTCCTCACATGGTGACCACTGTAAACCAGAAAGCTTCATTAATATTAGAGTGATAACACAGGCCTATGTTTCACTGAACTCACTGTTCATCAGTAGAGAATGATATTTCACTCAAATCTTTCTGATTCTACAGTCAATACTGACAAATGGACATCAAACTATTACATTTGAAAGCCTTTTCAGTGGTATTCAGTGGTATTCAGTGGTATTCAGTGGTATTTCAATAGTATTCAGTGAAACATTGGCTGCTGAACAGTAAAGCTGATAAAGATCAGACTTGAGATTCTCTTTGAGATGTTATAAAACACATATTAAGTTTTCAACAATAAGTCAACAAACAGTCAATTACATCTTTACCCTTTTCACATGTTGTTGCCACATTACCGGTTCATTGTTATGTATGCTAATTGCAAGTCTAATATAGTAACACAGTTTGGAAAGCATTCCTCTCTGTGCCAGCAGAGTACATTTTCTATACAACAGACTTTGTGGGTAAACAGAACATTTTCTAAGTGAAAAGAAGTAAACAACACTGCTGCATGGAATGAACTCAAATTTGACAACATTTCTGCAAATATAAATAATTGTGATTTGCTGACTTGCTGAACCTACACACTTAACAGTTTGCACAGTGTTGTTTTCATCAAATGCTGTTCTCTTTTTTCTCTAAATATTCCTTTGGTGATCATAACCAAGAGTTACATTTTTCTTTCTTCAGTCCACAGCCCTGATTCTGAAAAGCCTCTGGTTTATCTAAGTGCTGTGTTACTTATTTCAAAAGCTGAGTTTTGTATTAAGGTTTCCTTCTGATGACTCTTCCATGTAGATGATATTTGTGTAACAGTACTACACAGTGGATCAGTGCATTACTAATCTCGTAACAGCCTCATCTTCCTGTAGGTTTTTGGTAATGATGTGGGGGTTTTGCTTTGCACAGTCTTTGAGCTGTTTGATCTTGTCTTAACTTCTTCATTTCTACTTAACTAAACTATTTGTTGCTATTTGGTGTTATTTTTGTGTTATTAGCTCACAGACTGAACTGAAGGACACCCACACAGACACAAACACACATACATACATAGTTGCACCATGCCACTCCCCACTTCGTTCAATTCCAGATCAAGTCTGTGACACTGTTTTTAAACATAAATATAGCATTTCACACTGAATTACATTTTATTTGCACTTATTATAATTCATATATGTTACTACTTGCATTTTCGCATATTTTATTTCTTTACAATATCGGTTGCTAGAATTACTATATCAAACGAATACTTTATTCTATTGTTGCTGTTCTGGTTGCTACCTCAGTAACTGCTATGCTCATGTATGCTAGGCTATCTGCTAAGCTGCTAATATGTCACAGTATGTTCCATCCTCCTCTGCACAGCTCCACATACTCTCAGTACCGTGTGCTGCCTGTGTTCTGGTCTGTATTTATTGTATGTCTTTCATATTTATTTACTGTACTGTATTGTCTGCACTTGTGTTCTTGTGTTGGTCCTGGAGGAATGTTGTGTCCTTTCACTGTGTACTTGTATAAAGCTGAAATGACAATAAAGACTCTTGAACATGAACAGGAACTGCCATTCCTCACTGACATTTCAGACCAGAAAGTGTTTAAATATGTTTTCTAGCCTTTTCTTGCTTTGTAAAAGTCTTTAGTTTCTTATCCACAGTCAGCTACTTAAAGGAGCCCATTGCTGTAAGGGTAACACACTTGTGAAGTTTGAAGTCTCACTTAATCTATTGTGCTGAAAATTGTTGACACCAGACCAGGATTAAGGCCGTATGGGTCAAAAAATATCTAAGACCTTCAAAAAAGATCTTAAGACCTACATCAAAAATGTACACTAGTGGATCAACTGAAAGGTGCCCAATCTTTTGCACATGCCACATTTTATTTAGTTTTTTTTTTTCCAATATGTTAAATTCAGCAAATAAATGGTTAAAATTTGTAGAAATGTGTAAAATTTAAGTTAACTTATATTGACTCCAAATTAGCCTAGCATTAGTGTCACTGTGAGCTAACGTTACCATGTAGGTAAGCAGGCATGTTTTATTTGTGTGAAAGTGTGCAAATTTTCTAAAAGCTACTTACTCTACTTGACAAAATGGCTCCGAGCGTATTTGTAGTGTCAGTGCTGACAGTTCGGTACGATGTGCTGCCACACCCTGACAACCTCTCATCCTACGAGGGCAACCAGATCCTCTGGGACAAAGAATGGAGTTCTGAGGTTTTCTAATCACAGAAGCAAATCATTTAAAGCAGGAAGTAAAACAATTACTGAAAGTGATGATTACCTGTGCTCTCCGGAGCTGTTCCTGTACCCCTGGAGGAGTCCTGCTCAGGTGTGAAACGCACTGCCACTGAACCTCCAGTCAGACTCACGGAGGGAGGGGGTGTGTGGTCACAGGCGTGGTCTTGAAAAGGAATGACAGTTACAGGATATACTCCCAGGTTTCGTTTTCCCTCCAACAGCTCACTGACTCATCATGTTCAGCTCATCAGATCTTTATCAAGTCAGTTCAGCCACATTAGGCAGGGAAGAGTACAGGAGCTCCAGAACTGAGATCACACAACGTAAAGAGAAGAAACCACAACAAAGGGTGTCCTTGAATTCACTTCATTACAAAGTGTACATTAGTTCCCCAGGCAGGACCTCTTCTGAACATTTGGGGGGTCATCAGTAACATCCTACTATGGACTGCCACAATAATTATGATTTCATTCATTTTGATAAGGAAAAAAGTTGAATTGCTAACATAAACACAATAAAACAACAACTAACTTTATAAAGCAGAATAGCATCTATAAAAAAACTGATTTGTAAACAAATAAAACAAATAAAGGTTATAAAATCAAATATTTTTGGAAACAACATCATCTGTGACATATTGTCAACATTTTTTTTTTGCCAAATAAAAAAAATAATGACTGGGACAACTACTGTGAGTGTTCACCTTATTAGCTACACCTATTTAATGGTTTGCTGCTGCTCTATGGACACAACTTCTAAACATGCTGGACGTGTTGTGCAGGTCAGTTCTGGCAGTGCTGGTTTAAAGGTGGCTGAGATACGGCTCTCTAATGCAGTGAACAGGCTGGGTTCTGGTGACCTCACCTGACCCTCTGCTGGGCCATCATTCCATATCAAATCTGCTATCTAGGTATACCCAGCATGCAGAAGAACATTCTGAAGTGTGGGTGGTGCTTCTTCACTCAGTGGATGAATCTGACGACTGAAAGAGTATCAGAGAGAACTCAGTGTAATCTTGGTGAAGGAGCGTCTCTGAGGATGTGAGTGAATTATCTACTATCATCATCACATCTTCATCAGTATGATGTTGATTCTGAGATCATTTGAGGCCAAAACATCGAGTCGGACCTTCTTTTAGAGTCTGTGTGTGATGTTAATACATAAAGATGTACAACGTGGTGTGAAAAACCTGACGCCTCTGAGTGTTAAATGGTGATTCCAGGCTTTACTGGGCAACTCCATCAGTGAGTTTAATAATAGCCTATTACTAAACAAAGTCTAGTGCAGCTTTAAGGGACTCTAAAAGAAAGCGTTACCTTATCAGGGTTTGACCTGAGAACCTTTGAGGCACGATGTTAATCAGGAGTCTCTAATCGTACCCGCAAAGTGCTGCAGGTTTTTCTTCTAAAAAAGCTCACCTGATCCTACTTCAAACAGGTGATCAGGTGAGCTCTTGACATGTTGCAGTGAAAATCTTCAGCCTTACTGGTGCTTTACAGACACAATTAGACACCAGTCTTAGATAGTCAGTCAATGGGCGAAGGGAACAAGTCTTTTCAGTGTGATAATTTTGGACTTTCTGAACTTTAGAGTCAAAGTCAGGATCTTATAACCAACTAATCTTTTCAACTACTGACTTTATTATGTCCAGCTTCATGGTGAACACACTCAGGATGTAAATCTTTTGCTTTGATCAGGATTTGAACAAGGAACCGCAGGACAGTAGAGACACATTGTTTTTTGTGATTCAGTGCTTGACCATGGTCATAGTGTGCATTCTAAAGTTTTAACTTTGACCTTCAGCTCCTGTACTGAAGGCTTTTATTTTGAATGACTGTTCTTAATTCTTATGACAGTCTTGATCATATACAGGTACGGTGTGGAGATTCAGTGACGGAGTAGAAAATCAACACACTTACCTTAGACAAAGACACCAGTTTACTTGAGACTTTATTTATTTATTTATTTATTTATTTATTTATTTATTTGACACAACCAATGGAAGCATGGGCCTCAGAAATCTTGAATCAACAACATTTGATCATTCTTTTTTCTCTTGTTTTCTCTGAAGAACCAATCATGCATTTACTGAGACATCAGTAAGAAAACTAAACTCACTGAGCTGTTTCTCATCTTCTAGTCTCAGGTTGGCTTGGCTCAAACACAAGGACAAGTCATTCTGGGAAAACATGCACATTTCTTTGTGCTGTTTGTCTCCTCCTCCTCCTATTTGGCTGGTGTCCACCAGGGGGAGCTCTTCCTGGGATCAACCCTGAGTCCTACCACACCTGCTGCTCCAAACTCCACACAAGTCCTTCACCTGCTCATCTTCAAATGCATTCAGTCTGTAGTGTCAGGGTCACTCCTTCACTGTTCTACCTCCCACTAATGTTCCAGCCCAAAGCAGGGCATTGTGGGTAGAATCAGCATCATTGCCACCAGCATGCTAGCTGGCCCTCAGAGTTTAATATCCTGAGACTCGGACATCTTAGCCAGCGTTTTCTTCACCCTCAGCGCGGTGAGCCGGGAGGCCGGACTGTGAGCCAAGTCAGAAAAAACAATGTGATGTCAGTGAGATAAATCCATTAGATGACTGGAGTCCTGTAAGAAGTCAGGAAACAAACCTAAGAACCATCCATTCATCCATCCATCATCTAAACCGCTTATCCTTCTGGGTCACGGTGGGGTGCTGGAGCCCATCCCAGCTGTCATTGGGCGGAAGGCAGGATACACCCTGGACAGGTCGCCAGTCCATCGCAGGGCAGACAGACAGACATACACATTCACACATTCACACACACCTAGGGGCAATTCAGCATGTCCAATCAGCCTGACTGCATGTTTTTGGACTGTGGGAGGAAACCGGAGCACCTAAGAACCAAATAAGGCTGAAGAAAGAAAGCATTAATTGAGACACATCATGAGGTGTAAGTTCTAATGAGTGCAGTAACACCAGAGGGCAGCAGTGAGTAACATTTATTTTATCATTAATGAACAGTTACAGCTGTATGAGGAGCTGAGAGCAGTGTGTACCTCGTCGCTGCTCCAGTGGGGAACGTGTCCTCGTATGACGGATCTGTAGGAACGTATTCATGGTACGGCAGCTGGTACTCCTCCACCATGCCTGCGCAGAACATCAGACAGAGCATCAAACTACCAATCAGCCAGTAAACTACCAATCACATAACACACAGCTTCAACTACTAATCAACATGTCACATTAAACTACCAGCTACCCAGCACACTGTATCAACTATTACATCAAATAACATTTCACAATAAACTACCAATCAGCCAAAACACCACATTAAACTACCAATCACATAACACACAGCTTCAACCACTAATCAACATGTCACATTAAACTACCAGTTACCCAGCACACTGTATCAACTATTACATCAAATAACATTTCACAATAAACTACCAATCAGCAACACAGACAGCAGGAATGAGTCAGTTTACTGCAGAGACTATTTGAGGAGGTAAAGTTCAGACAGCAGCACTGAATCTAGATAACAGTGTACATACACTGATCAGGCATATCATTATGAGCACCTCCTTGTTTCTAGACTCATTGTCCATTTTATCAGCTCCACTTACTATATAGGTGCACTTTGTAGTTCTACAGTTACAGACTGTAGTCCATCTGTTTCTCTGATACTTTGTTAGCCCCCTTTTACCCTGTTCTTCAGTGGTCAGGACCCCCATGGACCCTCACAGAGCAGGTACTATTAGGGTGGTGGGTCATTCTCAGCAGTAACACTGACGTGGTGGTGGTGTGTTAGTGTGTGTTGTGCTGGTCTGAGTGGATCAGACACAGCAGTGCAGCTGGAGTTTTTAAACACCTCAGTGTCGCTGCTGGACTGAGAATAGTCCACCAACCAAAAATATCCAGCCAACAGTGTCCTGTGGGCAGCGTCCTGTGACCACTGATGAAGGACTAGAGGATGACCAACACAAACTGTGCAGCAGCAGATGAGCTATCGTCTCTGACTTTACATCTACAAGGTGGACCGACAAGGTAGGAGTGTCTAATAGAGTGGACAGCGAGTGGACACAGTGTTTAAAAACTCCAGCAGCACTGCTGTGTCTGATCCACTCAGACCAGCATAACACACAACAGTCTGTAACTGTAGAACTACAAAGTGCACCTATATAGTAAGTGAAGCTGATAAAATGAGATTTTACTCTGTCATTTTGACCATTTCTATTGGTCAAATCATCCTGTTTGTAAAGACAGAGATGATTACATATACAGTGAGGTGAAGTTCAGTGCTTAATGCTCCAAATTATATTCTTTATTAGCTATGAGCTACAGATATGAAATTACTAAATAGGTTTTACTAATATTAACCATTTCTATTAGTAGTTTAATTATTATTAATGATTTGGTTCCTACAGTTAACAATTATTAATTACTTTTACATCACTAAGTAAATTTATAATTCACATGGTGGCATATTTAACACATATTGTCATGCCTATGGAGTCTGCCCCGCCCACTCTCCTGCGTTTGCACACCTGGTTCTCACCACTGTCCTTTTAAATATGCCC